TACCCCGATATTTTAAAAAGGATTTATTAATTAAATTAATTTATATTATATTATTATTATTATAATTTTTAAATGATTTGTTTTATTTAATTAGGTGCTTGATAGTTGTGATTTGTTTTATTTAATTAAGTGCGTAGGTAAATTGTATTGTTTTAATTAAATTATATTTTGTAATTTTATTTGTTAAATTTATATGGTGTTTGATTTGTGGAATGCTAGGTAGTGAATTGTTTATTTGATTTGCGTGATTTTATGTTGGTGTAGCTTTATTGTTAATTATTGGTAGCTATTAAATTTAATTTCATTATTTTAGGTATTTAAGTTATTTGGATTGGGATTAAAGGAAGTTGGACCAACGGATGTGGTATTGGGCTTGAAGGAAGCCTTGTTGGGTTAATTGGTAAAGGCCCATGGTTGTGAGGATATTTAATAATTATCTTTGCATAATTATACCTATATAATTACATGTGTATATTAATTCATTATTAAATCATGTGGAGGGGTATATATGTCAATATAATTATATATTGATATATATAGGTATATATAATTTATTTAACTAATGGTTATATATGGAAGGTAATATATATATATTTATATTAAAATATATGTATGTATATATATTATTTAAAAGATAAATATTATTTATTTTATATGATAATCCTAATGGGAAAAGGATTTAGGTTTTTGGATGTGTATAAATAGACACATAAGACTTTAGGGTTAGGAGTTTTTCCATGTTAGAAAAATAAGAGAATTAGAGAGAGAAGAAGAAGGGCTAACGAAGAGGATGCCGAATCAAAGAACGTAAGAGGAGACCGGATTTGGAAAAGAAAAGGCGAGTTCTTCTCTACTTCTCCTCTTAAAATTCATAAACCTATCACATTGAGTATCAAAATTATATTTCTGTTTTGTTAATTAAAAATAAATTATTAATCGGATTAGAAGAGCATGTGTATTCTTTACAAAATTTTAGATTGAAACATATGAATATATGTATGAATTGTTCTGATAATATATATCTCGTATATGAGGTTAGGTTAATCAAATTTTATTTTTTTTACAATTTTCATAGTTTGCTTACCCTCTTGTAGCATGATGAATTAAAATTTAATGGATCTTAATTTAATTATATATGTTTATTTACGCCTAAAATAATAAATAAAGTTTTTGGAATTTTCTGAGTTTTTCTGAAAATTTTCTGGAATTAATTTATATTTTTAATGTTATTATAGAAATTAGTTATATATACTGTTATATATATATATATGTTAAATAGTTTAACATATTACACACTGGAGGCGGTAGTTACTTGCGCATCAATAGGATTTTTATCCAATGTGGTCGCGTACGTAAGAAAAGGGTGCACCTGTTGATCTGGACCATTTAATGGGTTTGGTCAAAAGAGAGGTTATCCTGTGTAGCGCGGTGTACCAATGCACCCAACAGCAACCACTTAGAAGTTGCCAACACGCGCCGAGAGTGGCTCAGGCGCGTGAGGGTGCGTGAACGCGCCTGCTGGTAAGGGGAAGCGCGTGGAGGCGCGTGGGGACGAGTGTGAGGTCCTGCAAAGTTGCTTGAGACTCCGGTGAAGTTCCAGTATTTATTTTAAGCTTGTTAGGGTTAAAATTAATCATTAGAGGGTGTGTTCTTGATGTCCTGAGAGCCTCAGAGTGTTACTAAGATACCTAGTAGCATTTAGTGGTATAAATACAATTAATTAAATATTTTTGCAATGAAAGGAGGTGTATATATGTATATATATATGTAGATATGATTTTAAATAGTCAACGATTGGTATGGAATGTATGATACACACATATATATATATTATAAAATATATGTGTATATATCTATTATTTAAGATTATTAAATATTATAAATCTTGTTTGGTATGACTTGATTCGTGGATGGTATGGTTGATTTAAAATCGTAATAGATACACGGTTATTAAATTAAGGACATGCTTATTATATGCATGTGAAGTCTATCTATAATTATACTTAGAGTTAAGTTTAAAGTTAGTACATGGTTGAATTGTAGGCATGGATGAGTTGCCAAAGGCTTTGATATACTGCCTTATTGGTTATGAATAAATTTCATGTATGGGAAGCATGGTTGAATTGCTAATTAATTGTAAAAGTAAATATACTGAAGGAAGCATGGTTGAATTGCTAGTATATAAATAAATATATTTATAAATGGCATGGTTGATTTGCCGGTGCATATTTAAATTGTTATATATTTAGATGACTAAATTACTGTTTAGGATGGAGTTAAGGTGAGTGGGGTTTACTTTATGAGAAAATTATAAAAGGGGGGGCTTGGTCTAGGTATGACTGATAATTAATTATTGGTGAGTGGTTTTGACAATTTAATGCCCTCTTAACAGATAGGATTCTTGTACTATATATATAAGTATTTATATATATTTGTAGCATCGTATATTAAAGTTAAAGCTTAATTAGGGATGGTTTTGGTAAAGATGATCTGTTTATTGGTTTCCAGAGGCTTGGTAGAGAGAACTTGCTCGTAGGGTTTAACCCGCGATTTTTTTTTAGGTTGCTAGAAGGTCAAGTCTCAAGGTTGAGGATCCGCAGCTGGAGGACTTATCCATTCCTTCTATTTACTTAAAAGTAGGATATTAGTTTTGTTTCAGTTGATATTAGTATTTATTTGGTAACAATTCTAAATAGTAACTTTTGGTTAAGGGGTCCTTGAGTTACGGGATTCCCGAGTTGTAACCATTTGGAAGTTATTAATGGATTTACTATTAATTGGATTTCTTCAGCGTTTTCTTTTATTCTTTATTTCATTTTGTAATCCGTGCTTGTTTAAATACTTTAATTGGTTTGACATCCCCTGATTTTGTGCGCGGACTTGATCAACCCGTGTTCCGAAATCAGGGGGTATCACACCTTTTGGGAGCTAAAAGTTGGTTTTACATGTAATAAGGCCAAAAAGATCAGGTGAGAAATGCCAAAGTTCAAGAGCCAACAAGATCAGGTAAGAAGTGCCAAAGTTCAGGAGCCAAAAAGTTAGTATGTAACATATATAAATTCAGCTCTCTCTCTCTATATATAAATTCACAAATAAATATTAATCTTATACGTGTGGTGTCCCAAATCACAAATAGATTTTAACAGAATATTAGCATAACGGATTAAGAGAATTAAAAAAAAGGAAGAAAAACTTTTTTGACTCTCAAATTGGATATGAGTAAAGTTTATGATCGTATAGAATGTGAATTCTTATTTAGTATGATGCATAAGTTGAGTCAGAATGGTCATTAGATTAAAATGGCATCTTGATGTCTCTCAACAGTCTCATATTCACTGGTGATAAATGGCAATTCAGTGGGTTTCTTCTATCCATCGCGTGGGTTGCGCCAAGGTGACCCTTTATCGCCGTATCTTTTCATTCTTTGTGTGGAAGCGTTGTCTTTGGCCTTCTAGCGAGCCAAATAGGCAAAGATTCTCTCTAGGGTGAGGATTTGTCGAGGTGCTCCATCTATATTTCACATGTTCTTTACAGATGAATTTATTGTCTTTTGCCAGGTGTCTGAAGCAGAGCTTGGCTCTCTTAAGTGTATTCTTTCTACTTATAAGATGGCTTTAGGACAAAAGATGAATTTTGAAAAATTTGGCATTTTTTCCTCTAAAAATGCTTCATTGCATTTAAGGCATGCTTTGAGTCAGATGTTGGGTTTGTTTGAGGACGGGTTTCAGACAAAGTATCTCGGGATGCTAGCGATAATTGGTCGTTCCAAATACGATGTGTTCAAAATTTTACTTTAACATATGCAGGATCGTTTAGCATCTTGGAGGCAACATACGCTGTCGGATGGTGTTAAGGAAGTTTTAATAAAGGCAGTGTTGAATGCTCTTTCAACTTATATTATGTCTGCCTTCCGATTACCTCAGACTTTGTGTCTTGCTTTATTGAAGCAGATACATTCCTTCTGGTGGCAAAAATCTAGTAAATATGAATCCATTCATTGGGTTTCGTGGGATTGCGTTAAAGTAAGCAGGATGGTGGTTTGGAATTTCGTGACATTGAAGCATTTAATTTGGCCATGTTGGCTAAACATGCTTAGAAATTCCAAATTTCTAAGCAGGGTGTGGTCTATTAGTTATTTAAAGCGAGATATTTCCCATCATGTTCATTTGTTGATGTGAACCTTGGTTCAAATCTATCATGAGCTTGGTCTAGTATTTGCTCGTCGCAAGAGTTACTGAGACACGACTTCCGTTGGTTTGTGGGTAATGGGAAATCTGTCCACATTTGGAGAGATAAATGGATTCCTGGGCTTCCAATGTCATTGGGGCCGAGGGTGGCTGCGTTGGGTTTTACTTGGGTGGAAGAGATTATTTATGGTAATTGCAGAGAATGGGGTATCGATGTGTTGAGACGATTATTTTCTTCAACGGAAATTCATTGTATTTCAAAGATTTCTTTAAGTCATGGGCCGTTAGATAATGCTCAAATTTGGGAAACTGATGCTTCAGGTAAAAAAAAAGAAAAAAAGAAAAAGGTTCAGTGTTAAATCCGCCTACCAGTTAGCTGTGTCTCTTTATAACCCGACTCAACGTAGTGGGAGAAGGATGGATGGTTCACGGGTAAGTGTCGGGTCAGTTTTGGAGTAGGTTGTGGAGTTTTCTTTACTTTCTAAAATTAAACATTTTATTTGGAAATGTTGTTATGGTGCTATCCCAACAGGGTATGCGTTGGTTCACTGAGATTGCTTGCAAGATCTGGTGTGTCCAAGGTGTGGGTTGGAGGTAGAGGATATTAATCATATTTTTTTCCGCTATCCTCACTCGGTTCAGGTATGGAAGCTGACTCCTCTTCGTTGGGATTTTTCTCAATATTCTCCTTTATCTTTTGTTGAATGGTGGGATAAAATTTCAATTAATGTTTTGCCTTCAATGGAAAATAAAGGAGTTATGATTGGGTTAGCATCCTTTTGTGTGTGGATGATTTGGAAAGCTATAAATAAAATGATTTTTGAGAAGGATGTGTGGGATCCTTTGATGGTGGCTAATTTAATTACGGACCGTTTTTGGGAATTTTTGAATGTGCAGCAGAAATGCAAGCCGCTAGTTTCTCCTTTGCATTCTATTGTGTCCTATAACCATTGGACTCGTCTGTTGCATAACGAGATTAAATGTAATGTGGATGCAAGTTTTTCAAAGTCTTCTCGGTTAGGTGGTGGAGGGGCGGTGTTTCGGAATTCAAATGGTTTTGTTGTGAAAGTTGTGATTTTTAAGTCGCCTTCTTCTTTTTCTGTGCTTGAAGCTCAAGCTTACGCTTTCCGCCGTGCTATTTACTGGGCTAAAGTGTTTAAATTTCAGGATGTCTGTTTTGAGTCGGATGCTAAAGTGGTGGTGGAAGCCTTAACGGGTGTTCTATCTGGAGAGAGTGCGTTTGCTTCTTTGGTGTCTGTTATGCAAAAAGAGCTTCAAGATTTTCCTACTTTCTCAATTATGCATGTGCGACGGTTTAGTAATCAGGTCGCTCATACATTGGCATGTTTATCGTGTGTTGAGATGGAAACGGACTTGGTGCTTCAGTCCATGCCTTCATCAGTCCTTAAGTTTTTGGAGGAGGATGTTGCTACTTGAGTGTATGGAGTTCTATTTCTAGTTTCTGTTTTCGTTAAAGTTGTTGCCAAAAAAAAAAATTATATTACCAAGATGGTACCCATATTAATAATAGCTTAATGGCAATGTTGTCCTCGAATCTCACTTATATTACACACACACACACACACAAAAGAGCATGTTACTTTAGCATGCTAGAATGGAATAACACTGTACCGGTTGATATGTTAGCAACTTGTCATGGTCAGAGCATGTTACTTTAGCATGCTAGAATGGAATAACACTGTACCGGTTGATATGTTGGCAACTTGTCATGGTCCTTTTTCTATGAATGTGATTTGTGACAATATGATCCTACCCCAATTTCGGACCTCTTTCCATGCAAAGTCTTTTTTTGTATTATTTGGACTTCTCATGTAAATAAACATTTATTTTTATTTGTTTGGGCTAATTTTATTGAGTCATAGACAAATTTCACACTCAAACTTCAAAGTGACATTTGATTTGACAGGAGGGGTAATTGGTGTCTTTAATGAGTTAAATTAATGGAAGTGACTTTTTTTTTTTTTTTTTTTTTTGTGACAAGATATTTGTGCTTAATGAAACAGTATGAAATTAAAAAAAAAAACATGAAAAGGAATTGGACAAAATTGTATAAGAACAGCTAAGAGTTTTTGGTGTGTAGTGCCATTTGTATCATACGAAAAAAAAAAATGATAAAATAGTATTACATCCCACATAAAGTTCTGCCTATTCTTTTTGCAGCGGTTGAAACTTGAATATTTTTTATTTTTTATTAAATGAGTTGGGTTAGTATTTAGGATTTTTGACACGATTATTAATTGAATTGGGTTTAAATTTATCTGTTTAATATAATACATTACAACGACATGACACGATTATGACCCACAAACACGAATTGTCACTCCTAATTATTTGTTATGATATATATATATATATATATATATATATATATATATATATATATATATATAGAGGTTTTCATTAAATTGAATAATAATACAATGGAACAAAAAAATGATGCATCTCAATACTTTATGTGAATTCACGAATAAATTATTAAATTTATTTGTAATGGATCTACAGTGATATAATACTTTATTTTTTATAGGTTTAATGTAACAAAATTAAATTAATAATATTATAAGAAATAGTATATTTACTTTTTCAATGAGTGAACACTTATTTATACTTTGGAATTGTACTGCTAAAATTGGATCTATTTTTTTCTCTTTTCTTTTCTTTTTTGTTATTTCCATGAGATAGGCCTTGTGGGCCAATTACTTTCTGGAATGGGACCTGGCGACTGAAATCCCTACAACTAGACCATCACTGGGCCAATGTGATAAATTGTACTGCCATTGATTGCTTTCTAGTAAGTAGTTTTCCAAGACTAGCAGAGGAGATTAAGCAGATGAGACTGGAATAATATGCTTTAGCATATGGGAGTTTCATATATGCCATGGTCTATACCAAACATGACATCCACTACATTGTAGGGATAGTCAGTAGATATCTGTCCAATCCCGGACTTGATAACTGGTCTGTTGTGAAAATATCATAAAGTACCTTAAGAGAACCAATAATCTCATACTCATTTATGGTTCTAGTCAGGTATGCTGATTCTGATTTTTAATCAGATGTAGATACTATGAGGTTCATGACTTAGTGTATGTTCATTCAATGGAAGGGAAATCAGTTAGTAGATTGTTAAGCAGTTTTCAACTGCTAACTCAAAACTGAATGTGGAGTACATTGCAGCCTTAAAGGCAGCAAATAAAACCTTTTGGTTTGATCTCACTGATTTAGAGGTTGTGGAGCATACTAGCCTGCCTATCAAGCTATATTGCAACAATAGTGCAGAAGTAGTCCAAACCTATGACCCAAGGTTCTATAGAGGAACAAGGTACACTGAGGGGAAGTATTATGTCCTACATGATATTATCTGACAAGAAAATGTATTCGTGGCTAGAATATTGTATTGGAACACAACTTTGTTGATCCATTAACAAAGGTGTCATCGATCAATAGTTTTGATCGTCACCTGGAAAACATTGGAGTTAGATGTAATTCAAATTGGCTATGAGGGCAAGTGGGAGCTGTTGGGATTTATATGCCCTGGCATAGCAAATTCCTATTTGGATTATAATGACATAAATTCCTGACATATCTGAAATATTTATGATTTATATAATTGAAGAATTCAATGTATTATGTTTTGATTCATTATGGAATTGATAGTGTCCACTTGATTACAAGAAGTATTTATATATGTATGTGATGGCGATCAATACATGAATATAAATAGTAATCATAAATAGTTCAAAGTCGGTAATTATGGATGAACTCATTATTAACTAAGACTTGAACTGGATCCACGTTAGGTTGAGATATATTGTGAGAACCGTCGTATGCAATTGCTCCCTATCACCACCATGGCATTTGACTCCTAAGCATGAGAGAAGTATAGACTCTTTTATTAATTAGTAATTATTTTAATTTGTTTGGCGGAATCTTCAGAATCCTTAGATCGACACTTTGGGTAATTATGTAATTAATAGTTAGAGGGTTATATTTTCAATATTTGCATCATTACTACTTGTATTTATTTTGTATTTATTATAGTTTATCACAAAATAAATTCGAAGACCTTCGTGTGTTTTTAGAAAAAATGATTTATTATATATTTATTTATTTAAATTATTATTTTTGTCAAACAAATATTTTATTGTGATCAATCTGAAAATAATCAAAGATACCAAAATAAATATATTAATTAAGTAGTTGGATTGATGACTTTATTTATCCGATAACTAATTATGCATAAAGGGGTCAAAGTGCAACATTGACTTAGATGTTATTTATTATTTAATTAGAGTTCAATTAATTTCTTGGGTAAAGTACAGCTACACCCCCTGAGGTTTGACAAAAGGACACTCAGATGAAACTTACTTATTTTTTGGACAAAGACACTCCCTGAAGGTTCAAAAATGGACAAAAACACCCATTTACATGAGAAATTGACCAAATTACCCTTTGACCATTTAGGAGACTTTTTAACTTTACAATTTAATAAATTGGACCAATCTATCCTTACGAATAATTTATGCATAAAAAAAAAAAAAAAAGTAACAAAAAAAAAAAAAAAAAACCTTTATATTGTTCACTTTTTTTTTTTTTTTTTGGTTATTTTCTTTATAAATGTCCCAACTTCCCAATATCATTTTAGACGTCTATATTTTTAAGAAGTTGAGATATTTATAAAGTAAATAATAATAAAAAAATGAATAATATAAAGTTTTTTTTTTTTTTTTTATGCATAAATTATTCATGAGGGTAGATTGTTCCAATTTATTAAATTGTAAAGTTAAAAAAGTTTCCTAAACGGTCAAAGGGTAATTTGGTCAATTTTTTATGTAAAGGGGTGTCTTTGTTCGTTTTTGAATCTTTGGGGGGTGTCTTTGTCCCAAAAAACAGGTAAGTTTCCTTTTAGTGGCCTTTTGCCAAACCTCAGGGGGTGTGGTTGTACTTTACCTTAATTTCTTTTAGTGGAGTAGAAATTAATTTATGAATTAATTGAATTGGGTCCATGGATGGGGCCAATTATTAATTCACTGTAGCCAAGAAAATAATAAGCCCAAAGGATTCTCACTCATAGCCCAACTTGATATTGGAATCCTATTAGATTTGAGATATGTGAATTAGAGATTGAGAAGGATTTATTGTTTCATTTCCTTATCTTTATGTTGCCTATGTAATGACCCGGTCATTTTCCTTCCTTTCATTTTTCTCGAATTTTCACGAATATATTTTTTTTTTCGTTGATATTTTCCTTTCTGAGTTCGGTTTCTCGTCATTTAATGTCGTTTCGAGTGTTTAGGAATGGTTTATGAGACTCTTTCCTAGGGATTGACAACTTCTTTAAAGGACCGCGTTATTTTCACATTTTCATTTTTTTGACACTATTCACTTTTCGTCCTTTTTCCTATTTTGTCTTTTCCCCTTTTGTCACTTTGTTGGCATAGCCTCACTTTTCATGTTCGGAGTTAGTTTTTGATTTCACGTATCTTCATTCTAAGTGGTTTCCACGAAATACGTATCTTTATTTTTGTAGAAAAGTACTTTGGTTGCTCCCGGTGTCCATAGGGGTATAGATGCATAGTTCTTCAGAAATATTTTTTTTTCTTGGGGTGTTTTTCATAAATATCTTTTGAAGATATTTTATTTCATGGGTTTTTAAGAAAATATTTTTGGAAGATATTGTCATTCTGGGTCATTAGTGCAGTTATCACTTTTTGTAGGGGCCATTGTGCAATTAATGAAAGTTATTACAAAAATGCCTCGTTTTGAGCCTGAATCTTTGTACGAGATTCATTTTCATTTTTCGTCGAGTCATGTACTCATAGAATTTCCTTATTAGAATCCATTTTTGGCCACTTTTTGAGTTCGGGTTTGAGGCCAAGTTAAGATTTTGGTGTGACCTCCTTGGTGTTTAATGATCACCGTGTTGTCCTCGACATAACGTAAGAGTATCATCAGATTCGGAACACTTTTCATTTGGTGGAGATTTGAGATTTCATCTCAAATGGAGGTAGGGGATGTTATAGGTTTATATTTTTGTTGTCTTACATGCTATTGATGCTTATTCAACTTGTATGCATGATTTAGTTCAAGTTCCAAAATTTAATTTAATTACTTTCTATGTTTAAAATTTAATTCTCATGATGGTGTAGAACTTAGAATTAAATTGTAGCATGCTAGAAAATTAGGCTTTGGTATGTTTGTTAACATATATTAAATTTGGATTATTTGAAAAAGAATTGCAACTTTTATTTATTAATTTTATTTTGTGAAAGTTTAATTCTCATGATCATACCTTGTTTGGAATTAACTTGTGATATGCTATTAAATTAAGTCTTGGCATGTTCTTTAACATACTTTAATTTGAGAGCATTTGGATGAGTTTGAAAGCCTAGAGATTTTAATTAAAAGACTTAATT